ACTCGGTAGCTGTAGCAAAGATTTTTAGTGGTGACAGTTGATGTGTGGGAGAAGAAAATGTATGTGTGCTTAATAAATATTGGCACTCAGCAAGAGCTTATCAGCTAATTCAGTGCTTCAGCTGCTGGAGAGGTGGGTTGTCTTTGCCACATTGAAAAGAGTCCTTTCAGATCAAGGCATAAATAGACAATTAGCATGAAAAATATATTTTTTTGAATGGTGCTAGTTGAGTGCTGACATAGCTGTAGGACAGTTCCCGCCTGCCTTCCCAAGCCTGCGTAGCAGGCAGCAGCAGTACCTGTCCCTCCTCACCACCCAGGCCCCAGGGACTGTACGTGCAGATGTTGTCCCGCACAGAAGAGGGCTCAGAATAGAGCAAACCCTGCAGATGTGGTCTCTTTATTACTTCGTGGTTTGTGTTGTATGAACTCCTGCCTTCTGGGAAGGAACACAGGCTGTGTTTGAGGGATTTTGGGGGTTGTACAAGCAGACTGAATGACCTTCAGAGGTTCAGTCCATCACCTGGCCCTAGCTGGGACTGACTGCCTATCTACTTCTGCGGCCTGTCTTTGAAACCCGCCAGTGATGGAAGTGGCTTCTTCAGGTTGCTCTGTTCTGGTACACCATTATCCCTGCTGTTAGAATGACTAAACTAGATATTCCTTGCCATGGATTAACTGGCTTACTACTTCTCCTGTCCTCCATAGACAGCTCTTCCTTTTTTTGGCAGTGACAGTTCACATGTATGAGGACTTCTAATGTGTTCCCCTTTAATCTGTCCTTGGCAATCTCTTTCCATGCCCCAGACCACCCTTGTCACTCTCCCTGAAACCGTCCAGTGACTTGCATCTGTTTTATTTTAGTGCTGCAACCAAAGCTACACAGAATACCCTAGCCTGTGGCAACAGCGAAAGGATTAATTTGAGTCTAGTTGATTATACTTGTTTGTATCCCAGTATATTTGGCTATTTGTTTGCAGCATCGTAGTGGACCCTGATTTCTGATGCATAGCTCTTCTGCAAGACAAACGCAACAGACTAAATTTCTATGCTGGCAGGACATCATCTTCTTCACCTCCTGTCTCTCTTTTTCTTTAGCTGTTGTTTCCTCTTCCCAACAGTGTGTGCATACCTGCAGCGCCGTCCACCTGCGTGTCAAGGCAGTGCTGAAGCAGCAGGTGTTCGGCAGGATCAAAGTGGTATTTCCCTTTAAATTCCTCCTGCTTTCCAGGCAGCAGCTTTTGATCTTTTACCTGTCACTTTGTTCTTTCTCTGCTAGGTAAAAGCTAATTAAATGTTGCCTCTGTTGGCAAAGAAGTCGTGCACCTCTGCCTGCATTCCTGAGAGCCCCTGGGGAACTGCAGTAGGACATCACACAAGCTTGTGTTTCATACGTGCATCTCCATCTGCTGTCCTTAGTAGGAAAAGCTCACTCGTGTTTTCTGAGGAAGCATTCCCTGGTCAGCAGCCACGGCCACCTGATGCCACCTTCCTCCTTTGCATATGCAGGTTTTGCGCATTTAGAGTTCTGATGAAATAGCTGACATAGCTAAAGGTCTGGACAGGCAGGCTGGTCTCAGCCCTGACAGCGACGGGGCACAGCTGCGCAGGCTGTGCCGCCTGCAGAACGCCGTGGTGGCAGAGGACCCTCTTCAGATGCGCCGGAGGCTCGGGGCCTCTGATGCCGCACAGGGTGCTCCACACCACTGCTTCGGACTCCCTCAACGCTGTGTTGAAATGGTGTGTTGTAACGTGGAGGTGGGAAGGAGGAGTTGCAGCCAAGTTACTGTCTATATTCTTGCAGGGTGCAATGAGAGGAAGGGTGACTTGCTCTTTAACTGTGGTTGAGACAAATTACGTTCTCCAAGATAGAACCCAGAGCCTGAAACAGTAGTGTGTTGTTTGGAGATCTGGAGAAGAACGAGCATATGGCTCCACTGGTGCTTGGATTTGGGGCTGAGACGTGACGATGCGTGTTGCGTTTGGTGCTAGATGGAGACATGGATGCGAAGGACTTGCAAAGTAATTCCCTTATCCTGAACACTTGCTGGGTTCAGTTCATAGCAGGGTGGAGGCTTCTCCATCAAGTTCCAGCAAAGACAGAAATGCAGAAACTGCGTATGCTGTGATTCAAGCTGACAAATCCAGCGATTGCCGGTTAAACCAATGGTCTGTCCTTTAATGAAGGTTCTGGCAACTACTTGGCAGTCTCGTTTGCAGTCTTCTGTATGTACAAACCTGTCAGAATCAGGACAGCAATTTCCTTCCCTGCAGATGTCACTCCGCTCTTTGGGAAGCGTTGGTTTCTGTTTGCCCTCTCTACCTTCTTGCTTTCTTGTTTGTCTGGAGATACTGTTAAAACCGTGTTTAAAGAAAACAGAGCTATTCAATGTTTGACCATGCTTGCTTGCCCCTAAAAGTTTCCTGCGTACAGTGACCCTGACGGTACAAGTCAGGGCCTGTCTGCTTTTCTTTTTGTTTCTGGCTACCCCTGTAGCGTGCTCCGTGGACCGTGGCGTGGCACTTGTCACGAGGAACGCGCTGAGCTGATCTCTGCATGCACTGCCCCTGGGCTTGGCACTGCGGTGCTGTGTGGTGCGTGCTGGGTCAGACTGGCCTGCTCACGAGCAAGGAAGGCCATGTAAATACAAAGGAACAAAAGTAGATGTTTCCTCTCCTGGTGTGCTTTTGGCAGAACAGAAACTGCCGTGCCTCGGATGGTCTGCTTCCCAGCTAGGGACGGTAGCAGCAGGCAGAGCCTGCTCTGCGTTGGATTGTGTCGGGCTGTCTGTGGGATTGCTTCATGCAAGACCCACCATCAAGTCTGCTTCCTGATTTGCCTGCTAAATAGCAGATAGCTTGGGCACCCCCTCTGAATTCACGGTAGGGCTGCTCGTCAACAGCCCCGATGAGGACCCCGTCTCAGCTGAGAGCAGAGCTGACGTGGTGGTTAGCTGCGGATCATACTCCACAGTTAGCTAAGTTTTACCTATTGGTAGAATAGGTAGATGAAATGTTTGCCTGGAGTTGGCATGCCGTGTGCTGCTGCTGCTGGATCTGCCCACTCTGTTGAACGTGGGCACTCTGTTGAACGTGGGTCTCTTTCCACTTATCTCTGAAAAAGCTCTGTTTAACCATCACTGCTCAAAAAAACCCAAACGAAAATAAAAAACCCAACCCAAACCCCTCAAACGCACAGCAGGAGTATGCCAAAAAGCGGTGAGCACACGATGAACTTGTTTAGATTCATGATTTCTTTTGAGAGCGGTGGTTACTGTGGATGAGGCAGCGGCCCCTTGTTTAATGCCATGGTCTCAGCAGGTTTCTTTTGAGAGTGGTCGTTACTGTGGATGAAGCAGCAGCCCCTTGTTTAATGCCATGGTCTCAGCAGTTTCTCTGTGCTGAAGGAATCCTCCAGGGTCTACTCTGACTCTCTCTGTCATCCCCAGGACAGTGATACATTGGGCAGCTCTGCATTCCCTTAATGGACAATTTTCAATGACAAGCACTATTTTTCTGTTTCCTCCCTGCAGTAACTATTGAAATGTGGGGGTTTGCTGCCTGCATATTTCTTTCTTGCAGATGAGAACATCCTGGGATTCTGTACTTCAGCATCTTTAAAACGCAGAGATGATGTTACAGATCCCGAGCATTTGGAGGCTCTTGCTTGAGTTGTAGGATTGATGCAGCAGCTGATGGGAGACCTCTTCCTACTGAGACAGTGGTAGGCGCGTGCTGTGCTGTCGTTATATTTGTTCTAACACCATTTTTTCCTCCTTCTCGGCAGATCTTCTGAATTTGGCTCCTGATTAAAGCTGACAGATAATGGAAACATTTCCTTGGCGATGTCTCTGGGGCGACTCCTCCGACGTGCCTCTTCAAAAGCTTCCGACCTCCTGACCTTGAATGCTGGTGGTGGCGGCAGTTCATCGTCTGTGCTTGATGGGGAGATTATCTACTCCAAGAACAATGTCTGCGTCCATCCACCGGAGCTGCTGCAAGGCATCGGGGAGCATCATCCAGGTGATAGTGCGTTGCAGACGCTGCTCATTCACTCTTTTCCTCTCTTCTGGGGTGTGTGTTTGTATCGGATTCTACATCTTGGGCTCCAAAGAATGAAGAGGTGCCAGCGGGAGACAGGGCAAGGCAGTCTTACGGGGGCCTAAGGAAAACCATCCGCAAGCTGATCCATCAGCTCTTCTTTTAGTAGGAAAATTGATGATATTTCTCCTTTCTCTTCTGGTCTAGCGTGGATTTACCTGTTTTAGTAAATCCTCTCATATTGCCAGGAGATGGACAGTTGTCATTTGAGAACAGCAACTTCTGTTGCCCTTTCAAATATGTGTATTGTTCAGGGAAGCCAAGTGTCATCTTGTAACTCTTACTGCTCGAGTGGCCGCAACAACCACTGGTAAAGGGAAAAGAAAGAGAACCTGCTTGTGGCTGCACGCACTGGGGTGAATGAGGATAAACACTGCTCTGTCCCTTTATTCTCATCTGTTACTGCGCTCTTTCATGTTCTCATCAAAGAGAGCCGTGGCTACTGGCTTAGCTTCACAAAACTAATTATTCTGTGAACTCACGCTTCCCTTTTTGTGTGTGAGACTCTTTTCTATTGGCTTTCCATGAAAATTGTAGCCCTTTAGTTATGCTAAGGTAAATATTCTTGAGAAAGAAATGTTTAGCTGGCACTTGAAATTGTTTAACGAACAGTAGAAGTTTTTCATATGGTAACATATTTCAGAATTTACTCTTGATTACTAATCTGTCTAGGAAGTTGGAAGTATTTGCATGTTGTTTCAATGTCCGGTTAGGGCAGGGGGAATTTAGGCTATTCAAAAGCCATATGCAGACTTGAAATTATTTGTAAATGCTGAATAATGTTGAGCACTCCACAATTCATTTGGCAGAATTCTCTCCTGGTAAGCAAAAGGGTTTGTTTTGCCCATGTGTAGCGGTGGTGAAGTGGAGGGAGACGGGGAAGGGCAAATTTCAGGCTTATGCATTTTCCTGAGAATAAAGCTGTGGCATAACTGATTGCTCCTTTGCTCTCTCGAAGGCTATTTGTGCTTGTACATGGAGAAGGATGAGCTACTTGGAACTACGCTTATCCTCGCCTGGGTGCCCAACTCCCGCATCCAGAGGCAGGATGAAGAAGCCCTGCGCTATGTCACTCCTGAGAGCTCCCCTGTCCGTAAAGCTCCCCGCAAGCGCGGCTGCCATGCTCAGGGTTTCGGCATTGTCCGGCAGGCTTCCCCCACCGAGCAGAGAGGGGCAGTGATCCTGAGAGAAGACATCTTGTCTGGGTCACAGCTTGGGAAAGATGTGGCTTACATCAGCTCCCCGTCTTCGGAAGGGGAGAAGTGCTGCCCCGCAGCAGATGGCACCCACCGGTGCCCCCAGCCTGCCCGCAGTGACTCGGGAATCCTATCGACAGTCAGCTCTCAGGAGGAGCAGAACAGGTCGGAGCTGTCAGTGGAGGGCACGGAGGAAGGTCTGGACTGCAGGCCAGAGCCGGGGGAGGACGAGGGCTCCTTGGAGCTGTCTGCTGATGACGTGAGCAGGGACAGTACTTTTGACTCTGATTCTGATGCCTTCTCTTCCCCCTTCTGCCTCTCTCCCATTAGCGAAGCCCTCGGGAAAAGCAGCAGTTCTGTGTTTCTGGATAATGACAGCAGGTGAGTGCATCCTTTTCTCTAGTTTCTGGGCGAATAGCTGGGGTGCTGGTTGCTGAGCTTGGAGATGCTGAAGGAGACTGAGAAGCATCACAGTGGAGTTGAGCTGAATATGCTGTCTTGCTTCAGGCCTGCTGCAGACACGTGTATAATTGACAGGAAATTGTTTGCCGGCCAGTCGTGCTGCTCAGTGAGCCCTGGCCCTGAACGTTCAGGGCTGTGTATGTGCAGTCTTTCAGGTGAACTGTCTTGAACCCTAGAAGCAGCGTTACTAAATTAAAAATGTCCTTTGCTGAGCTGATTGGCTCAGCTGAGGAGCTGTGCTGGTGGCTTCTGGTGGAGAGCCGCATCAGAGCGTCTGTCTGACTTCTTCTGAGCCAGGGGTGCCTCTCTGCAAGGCACCGTGGTGACGCGAAGTCTGCATGTGGTGAGCGTGCTTTGCTGGTGTTCGGCGCGTGGGCCCACTTCAGACATAAAGACTAATTCTTACATGTCTAACTGGGATATTTTGGTCAACACTGGTATATCTTGTACAACTTACTGTATCGATGCACAGTGTTTCCACGCTCTGTGCAGCGTATCCCTCGGCTTCCTCTTGGGGAGGAGGGGTGTGCTGCGTTCGTGAAGCACCAGATTTTAAGGATATAGCTCAACTTTAAAACTATGCCTGAAATTAGGAAAGAAGAGTTCTCCTTTGTGTGCGTCGGCAATGTGCAGGCTGCATTAAGAGCTGACGTTTGAAGGGATTTTGCCTCATTATGTTATGGGCTAATCTCAAGCCCGGAGAATGCCAGGAAGAACAAGGTTTATGAAGTATTCTAATTGATTCAACTCTCTCTGGATATTTTAAAACACTTCAGTGCGATGATCTCAGACTTTGTATCAGCTTTGCATTTGATATGCATCCTGGCAGCATGCTTCCAATTAACAGCGAGCCCTCAGGGTTTTCTGGGCTTGAGCTCTGCAGCAGGCGGGTGGGCAGCGGTTTGAGCCGTGCCTGGGCCAGCCCATCCCGTCCCACCCCACCCCACCCCACCTCTCCCCTGGCTGCAGAGGGGCATTGCAGAGCAGCTGTGGGGTCCCCAGGATGGGCCTTTGCTTTGCAAATGGTGTTGAGCAGTGTCAGTTTGACAGTGTCCCTTTCAGCTCTCTGAATACGATGCCTGACCGTCTTTTTTTGACAATAGGAATGTAGAAAACTTTGGGAACTACATAAATGTCACAAAATGCACATTGAAAAAATTTTACAGAGAGGTCTTTGCATGATGAAATATCATTCCTAATAGCTGACTTCATTTTGTTGGTTCCTCGGTGATTCGTCCCACTCAGGTTGTGTGTTAGCACTGGGCTGCTGCCTGGGGGTTGAAACCTCAGTTGCATCTGCGTTCAGAGAACGCTGTGTTTGTGTAGCCATTTCTTGGCCTTGACTTACAAAAAAAAACCAAATCCACTGCCACCAAAGCCTCTGTTTAAGGTGTGTGAAATTTTTTTCTTTGAAGCAGCACTGATAATCTGTGTTTGACCTGTCTCTATCACCCCAAACAAGTGAAGTTTGGGGGATTGGGAGGGGCGGGCTTTAAGCATTTTTTTTGTAAATAAAGTATTTAAATGTTTCTGTGAACATTTCTGAGTTCCAACAGTAAGATCTTAAAGGCAACTGTTCCTGTTTTTCAGCATGTGTGGGGGGAAGCTGTGGCCCAGTTCACTTGCACACCCTGAGCTATGGGTCGTTATCCCCACTGTAGCGGGAGCAGCGAGGGCCACGTTCTGAACAATGTCCCGACTCCTGAAACCCGGGAGACTGAGCCCCTCCTGGGGACCCCTCCAGCCTTGGCACAGGGCCCTGAGCTGGGCACGGCACGCAGCAGCCTTGCAGAGCTTGGCATGCCGGAAGCGGAGCCGGTGCGGAAGGCTGCAGCGTGCGGGGCACGGCAGGCACGCAGGCAGCGGTGTGGTTTAGCTGTTTTGCAGCACTGACGCTCTGGGCTGCTGGTAGTGTCGGGGAAGGAAGGAAATACAGTTTAGTGCATCTTCGCGACCTCGGCTGTGCATCGGTGCAGGTTTCCTGGCTGTTTCGCAGCTGGGCTCGGGCGAGCCCTCTGCCAGCTTTCCTCCCGTGGGCTCCCCGGCCGCTCAGCAGCGCGGAGCCTGGCTTTGCAGACTCCGCTCCGGCTCCTGGTAACTCCCCTGGAACCAGTCCAGAAGCCTCGTACAGTGTATGCAGCGCTCGCAATTTGCAGCAGATTAATAAAACAGACCTTTCGTTGTTTGGGACTTCAGACTTGAAAGGCTTTTGTCCAGTGTGTCCATTTTTTATGCCAATTTGTTTTTCACTGTAGAGCCCCCTTGCATGGTATCTGCAGGATCTGACAAACTGCTTGAGTCAGTTTTACACAGAATACTTTGCAGGCATCTTGTCAAAAAGCATTCTCTTATCTCCTGTGTTCACCCCAGCAATCTGAGGGGCGGGGGATGCTGTTGCAGAAGGCACTACAAGCATGAGGACAGCTTCCTTGTTTCTTAAGGGTTTGTTGTTTGTTTTTTTTCTGCTGGCTGCTTCCCATCTGAGCCGGAATTGGAGTGCGAACAAAGTTTGTGCTGCTGGCAGATTGTTTCGACTCCTTTCCCTCCCTACCCGCTGGTCACCACCTCCTCCCCGCAAAGAGGAACGAATGTTTCTGGTTATTTCCCTCTGCACTGGGGAGTTGTAAAGAGAACTCTGCTTTTCCCCATCATTGTTTCAGAGGCCGAAGCAGTGCACTGCGTGGGTATTTCAGTCCAGCCATCTTTCTTTCAGTGCAAGTAGATACTGTCAGAAATGGAAGAATGTGGCATTGTGGAAGAATTAGGACATACAGGTAGACTTGGACTAGATGAGATCAGGGGCTCAGCAAGCTGCTTGCCAAAGGACCAGGAGTCACAAGGTCTGGGTGCCCCTTGGAGCATCCCCTGAGAAGGTGGCCTGAGCAGCAGGGAGCCGACAGACGCATACCGTGCGTGCGGAGCAGGATGTGTGCAGAAGAAGGGAGCTAGGCTTGGAAGCGTTTGCATTGCACAACGAGTCAGCCATTTGAAGTCAACAATTTGCCCAGTAGAACATAAGGAAATAAAAATGTATCCATTGTTTTTTGGTTTTTTTCCTCTTTGCTTCTCAGTTTGACAGGCTGCCAGGGATCCCATGCAGCGATCGATGCTTTCCTCCCATTTACACAATTCCTCGGGCTGTGAGCTATGGGAGTGGCCCATCACCAGCGTACACATTCTTGCCTCTCTTCTTAGACGAGCCTGGCACCACTGCTGCGTAGTGCACCCGTCTCTCACGGAAAGGTGGCTTTGCCCCCTTGGTTTTTGTGTCCTGGTTAGCTATGGGGCCCCTTTCCGCGCGTAGCACGCGGTGCCTGCAGGGAGGTAGCTGATGTGGGAAAGGCCTGTATCGATAGCGGCTGTGTCATTGACTGCATTTCTGTAGGACAGGAGGGATACTGGAAATAAAATCGTTCCATTCCGTTCCTTTCTTCCCCTGTCCCCGTTGTTTGCTGTCTGTCAGGAAACATTTGCCTTGTGGGCTGGAGGGCACTAATGCAGGACAACCGTACTCTGTACCCAGCTTTGGCTTGCTGCAGCCCTGCTAAATTACTCAGCTTCCATTTTCCCCTCCAGTAAAGTGAAACTAAAAGCCTTTTGTTACATCCTCACAACCAAATAGCATCTGACACCTCTATAATGTCTTTCAACCAACGCTTCTGAAGTTATTCTAACTGGCCATGACATCAGATCTATACCAGTCTGTTGCAGAAGCACTTAGTGCTCTGTAAGCGGGGTTCAGTTTGCGCTGGCTTTTGTGCTGTGCCAGAGTGCTCCTGGCTAACAGGAGCTCGCGCTGGCCATGGGTGGTAGGGCTGCTAAAGGCTTTGCGCCTCGGTGATGAGCTGCCCTTGCTGTTACCTGACTAGCACCGCACGAAAAAGCTGAAGAGGACAAATAAACGCTGGCATGGGTTCCTGCCCTAACTCCAGGTTGGGCTGGCGGTCGATACAGTCAGAATTTGGACTGAGAAGCCTTGGTGGTGGAGTCGTATGAGTGGAGCTTGGGGCAACGTCCGGGCCGCGGCCGGAGCTCTGCGGACAGTCCCGCAGGTGGTGGAACAGACGCCAGCTCACGCATGCACAGCTCTGCCTTTAAAGGACAAGCAGAAGCGATGTGACCAGCATGGTCACAGATATCAACGTAAGAAGGAAACATCTTTCATAAGAAGGTGATAATTTTACCAACCAGTAATAAAAATAATGAAACATTTTCATAATGGAGCTCAACGATGGTACAGTTCTCACGTTCTTCAGCAGACATGAACTGACAGAACTATCGCAGGCAGTCTAGGCAAAGGACGAGGAAAAACTCCTTTGGCGTCGCAGTTGATGCAATTTCTACAGATGTGTTGCACATCCTGTTGTTACGGCTCTTCCCAGGGAGCTAATCAGTAAATTACCTGCTCACGAGGGAGCGGAGGCGCCGCGATTCGGAGGGTGGCGGCAGCTGCAGGAGCCGGTGGTAACAGCGAACGGTGTTGCATCATGTTGTTTTGGCAGCTCACCTGAAAGGCTCAGTGCTGTTCAGGGCTCTGCAGAATAAACAGGAGGCAAAATTACAGGGGAAATGAGCTGAAATTAGTGCAAACTGGCAGGAGCTCTGGAGTCATCAAGAGGTTGGGAATTCG